TTCCAATGGCAAACTTCAGTGAACAACGTGCACCTGTAAAATGTTGCTTTCTAATTGGTAAAAATGCTGCTGAAACTGTTTTAATGTTGAAAATAGCTTACAATGATGATGCAATGGGAAAAACTCAGGTGTACGAGTGTATTGCTCGATTTAAAAATGGCGACATGTCGATTGACGACAAACCTCGCTCTGGACGTCCATCAACTATCCGAAACGACGAAAATGTTGGAAAAATTCGAGAGATTGTGCTATTTGGAGGTTCTTATTTCCACGGATGAAAAGAGGCATGAAAGGGCGCCGCTTTGACGACATTGAAAAGGTCAAGGAAAAAACGCGAGCGGAGCTGTCAGACATTTCTAAAGAAGACTTCGAAAAATGTTTCGAGCAGTGGAAGCACCGGTGAGACAAGTGTATTAGTTATAGTGGACAGTATTTTGAAGGAGATAAAGTTATTTTGTGAAAAAGTTGAAAATACATAACGTTTAAAAAATAATTCCGGTTTTTTTTTGGGTACCCCCTCATATATGCGATACGAAGTTACTATCATAGTTTAAAATCTACAGGTTTGTCATACTTTACGAAAGTTCTAGTCTGTCACAACGAAGCGGTTATGCAAATTCACTCTTAACGTGATCAGTATTTTGTGCCATTCGGGAGGCCCATGTCCCTGGGACCCACTCTCATATACGCCACTGTTACATAGATCTGAATACGGCCCCTATAAAATAATTCATATCGTTCATGTGCGTACATAATTCTCATTTGAATCTTGTCAAATAAACTTTTTGTATGTATTCGTGCTTATTAGCATAACGGCAATCATTCAATTAACTGGTCAACTCTGGGATCTGTCAGCCTTTATTCATGTATGAAAGTCAATTTATCTAACAAATAATAGAGGTTTTGAACTTGTGTTTACCAAAGAATTATTCAATATTAGCGATAGAGATCCGAAAATTCGCTAGTCAAATAATCAATGTTTGTTTAATAATCTGAGTCGTGACAAAAAAAAATATTTGACATCTGATTTAAGGAAGCAGTTGGTGACTTCTCCATATACGAACCTTGAATTACATATTATAAATCATCAAAGAATAATAATGAGTTAGTGCTGTTTGTTAATTCACGAATCGTAGAAAAATCATACCAGTAATAGTGCTTGCTGCATTTACATCTTGAAACGGTGTGATATGACATAATTCGCAGCGCATGTATAACAGTGAGGTATTTTATGTCTAAACAAAATTGCATTCTTAATAACTCAAACGATACTATCTTGGAAAAAAATATTTATTATCCCTACCATCAGAATATTACACCTCATGTCAAACTATTATCGTGAGAGACTAACGCCAGGTTGCAACGCCTTTCTCAAGTATGCCAGTTAGCAAATGTGATCCGAATGTTGAATCAACTTCGTGTCATCACTTCAATTTGGTAAAAACTTATAGCTGAGACAACACTCCATCTGACAACAGCGCATCTTTTGCACCTTTTCAGGGAAATTGCGACCGCAACTACAAATCAGTTGGTTGAATTGGATGTCTGTATTTTTATTCAGATTAATGTAAAGATAATTTATTCCTTGTATCATCTGGTACTTTGTTCAGCTCATGCTCATCAGCTTAAAAATATTGTTTATGTTGATTAGGTACAAAATATCATCACTTGAGCTTTTTAAAACTTATTGAAGATTTTGGAAGAACTGTCCATATCCGCAGGTTTCAATCTACCAAAACTTGACAGATAGTAGTCTGTAGGTAAAATCGTAAAAATGTCAAACTGGCGCAAGAAAAACATGGAAGTTAAGGTTAATGTTAACCATAGCAAGGCGATTCCACTGGGCATCGTGGTTATTTCTTCTCATGTCTGATATATCGTTCATTGGGAGGAAGAGGGTTACATCTACGCTTCAACTATTGGAAGCCAAGCTTTGCCAATTCTCGTTCAAAAAAGGGGAAAACATGCATATATGCATTTTGAGATGTTGATATTCTCCAAGGCATTGAAATATACCTACCTCATTCTGTAATGATTCTGCCCTTAACAATATGCTTGGACGAACCTAGAGCAAACACTTTTTAAAGGCGTAGTTTGACTTATATAGCGTGTATTTACGTGATCCAATCGTTTTAAGAAGAACGCCTAGAATGAAGGGATAAAAAACTACACTTTGATTTATCTACCACCTCCAAGTTACCAGAATGCAACTAATCCCATGTGTCCCAGAATCCAGTTGATCCTAATTAACCCTTGTTAATTCGCGGAGTGACAGTCGAATACTCTTCAGTTTCAAACTATGACTGCATCAACTCTAGCTCAATCGCATGAGTGACGAATACACCTAGCCTGACTCCCATCAACTGATGACCGAACTTTTAGGAGGCTAATTAATAATAGCTTACAAATGGGTCGTAACTCCAAATATATCGTTTATGCTCAAAACACATCTAAGCAGGTGCTTTGAATGGTCATGAAAACTATTTTATACTCCTTTTTCAGACGTTTATGTGTCCACTAAAAAAGTGACACTGTTTTTCACTCCTTTTTGATGACGAGATACGAACGTAATAATAAGTTCCAACAGCTTTCTTTACTGACTGAGTTGACAAGTTTGAGATCAAGAACAGGACTTCAGTATGTCGTCTGCAGCTGATAATCCAGTTTATTAGACATAACATGTGAAAATAAAATTCGGGATAAACCTTAGAAAGTGCTTAAGCGCGATATGTAGCTAATCGACCCCTTCCTTAGTGTTATTTAGCACCTTGTTTAGCACCGTTTTTTGAAACGATATACAAACTTACAAAATAACAACAGGATAAAACTCCGAAACTCTACAGAAAGAAACAATTTAAAGAGGTTGTCGCTTTACAATTCAAAATTTTGTGTTAACGTCATGCGGGAATAAACTTACCTAATCGATAATAGCCAAGACTATAATAATTTGATGATAAATATCCGGATTTTATCAGATCGTTACTACTTAGACCAGAAGCTTGTTTGATATATTTTATAATGATAGAGCTAACTAGCAAAAACTGAAAAATCACATAATTGCTTAATTAGGTCAATTTGAATACCAGCAAAGGCCTATTTATAGGCGTGGCTATAATTTGAATTTATCGCACTTATGAAATTCAAATGCACATTTTTGCTCCATGAGTCTTCCATTAAAACAAGCTAGATTGTCAAAAAAAAAATAAGAAGGGTACGGTGGCTTACTTTAAAGTACAAAATGACATCTGTGGCTTCGTTTGGCAGGCGTGAAAACATAGAGACCAATTTTTATGGACTATAGTCACAATTTGTGTGAATTCACATGATTCCGAATATATGTATATGTTATATTATATTCTGGATTCTAATTTACATATATGTGGGTTACTTCTTAAAGAACCACTATAGATTCCTTCATATAAACTAGAATGTTTATGAATATATTTTATCGGTAGTAGACAGGCCGAACGTGAACCATTAAAAAAATTGTGCCATGAATACTTAATTTCATGAGTGGAGTCTGCACAATGCATCCTCTTAAATAATATAAGTTTTATCAGGTATGGCTTGCCAAGATGTTGTGGTTCTTGAAAAAGCCATCAGTAATGTTATGTTCATTAAAATATATGGATTAGAAAAATCAACTTGATCTGTCCACCCTATTTATGCAGCATCTAAACAAGCAATGTTTTGTAGCAGTATTTGGATATAACTATGGCAACTATAGCGCAGCCATCCTGACCATATTGCAGCATATATTCCGGTTATATTTATTTTGAAGTGTTTAAACATAGACTATTTTCTTAACAGCTGTATCTGCGGAGGGTCGAAGAAGTGCAATTTATGAAGAGGTTTATCGTTCGTTCAGTCCTACTTTCCACCCAACGCACTTTGAAGCCCTAGGGAGTTAAAGTAACTTTATCGCTCGCTATGAAAAATTAACCAATATTGAATACAGTATGGCCACAGATATTGTTATGCGTTTATGTATCTCGGCGTACAGTTTCACGCCCGAAGTAAAGTTAACGTGTGCCTTACGAATAGGTTTTGCGGGCGTTAAGCTTATTTTTCAGCTCACGGTCTCCTTTATGTCCATGGGCGGTAAAGTATATTCAGCGTTCGCCTTCTTTAAAGTTGTCTGTCTTTGTATAGTTCACACAAGGGTAAATATGTGAGTCTGTGTTGGAGGAATTTCTTGATTTATTACGAGGATGAGGGCCTTCTTACAGAAATCGTACAATTTTCCAAGGTCACCCGATTTAAACCCTCTACATTTTTTTATATGGGGGTTCTATACAACTGAATATACAAATGTCAACCAACTGCGCCAGAAAATTGACGAAACAAAAATAAAAATTATGGAAAACGCAAATTCATTTCAAAAACTAAAGGACAATTTTATTAGAAGGTGTCGCTTGTGTATAGAAAATAACGGAGGCCATTTCGAACATGTTCTTTAACAGTTAGTTAAATTAAATTATCTTCCACATTTGTCGATAAATCGCCATAAAGAGCGGCTAAACACAATAGGTTCTGTACTTGTAGGTCGTAAGGACTCTATTGCGTTTCTTACGTTTATTGCATCACAACAACGAATGTGACATGATACACTGATCGTAGCAAGCTGAAATTCTCAGGGTTTATTCTACATGGATTGAAATAGTTTTTACGATAAAACGAATAATGAAATACAATCTAAATTTTTTTACCGCCCTCCAAAGTTGAGGGATGGAAGAGATTTTTCACAAAAAAATTAATTTGAGATTTTTTGCGTTGATTTATAAGAATCTCTGTAAAAAAGTGACGTAACCATTGCTAAAACTAACTATTAATGGTTTAGATGTAGTTGCGATTGAAAGTTCATTATCAAAACTTCGGTTGATCCACTATTAACTTTACACCCTGTGTATATAAATGTGTGCTGATCCTTATCTGCCTGAATCGCCAGGTAATTATATTTTTCTTATTCTAGCGAAGTGGTAACGCAGACTCCGACGACCATGGATCATGGCGGCAGCAGTGGTAACACCAATAGTCGCCTGGGCTTGGATCTCATCGTGGAGACACCCGAATATGCTCAGAAACTGGCAGCCGCCCTCCACACTGACAACGCTCAGGTGAAAAAGCAGGTGCTGGAGCTCCTTGCAGCTCTATGCGTACATGGTGAAGAAGGCAGGGCGAGGGTGCAGGACACACTCGAACATCTTAGGGTGAGTATTGAACAATACTAAATTTATTCAATACAAAACCTTTATTATACATCAGCCAAATTATCATTTATATAGAGAGGAGTACTTATAGATAGAATCCAAATAGAGATTAAAAGCATAGATTGTGGCCACCTCGTAAACTACTCGCGGAGCTATTCCATGAAATTGTATGACCAAATCGTGAGACAATTAAATTAATTACCGTTACAGAGACTGGAAGGGCTTTTTGCTTATGTGTCAACATGACGGCCGTTAATTACAATGTTTTTTTTTTCGGGGTAGGAATTCTAATAATGCGTTACTAAACGAGAAAGAAGGTGAGATTAAAAGACCTTACGACAAAAACGTACTTTGTGGTTTTTTGGTTTTGTAGATACCCTATTTTACGATATGGTCAATCGTGGATAACCAAATCGTTAAATGTTGACGATTTACAATTCGGTCAAATTTTGTTGGGAATTTGATGAAATGGGCAGTTCTAGGATATGACACATCATACACGTGGACAGAAAATCATCACGAATAAAATACAGATAGACATTAAAATAAAGAACACATACACATATGGGCAATCAGTATAACTAAAATAAATACACATGAATAACGATCCTCCACTGCGACTCTTTGATCTATTGTGGCTCACACTTATTTATATTTCCCCCAGTAGCTTCGACCTCCTGAGGAAATCGATTAATTTGTTTGGATTGTTTGGAGAAATATCCTTCAGGTCTTCTGCTTGGATTACTACGTCTCTAAGTATGTTGTACCTGATTCTGGAAATTGCATGGCATCTGCACAATACATGCCTGAGCGGTTCATCTCCCTCCATGCACAGTCTACACTCATCGTCTTCTGCCATGCCCAGCCTGCTCATGTGGTGGCGCCATTTGCAATGACCAGTGTAGCTAAAGTATATAGATTGACAATTGAATATAAAATATGGCATTAAAAATGGGCGTAAAATCCATGTATAAAACTAGACGGAGACAAAATCAAGCAAGCAGTATATGATGAGGTGTTGCGTATGACATATTTATAGAATGATGGTAATCCAAGAAGTATCCTCGCGTCTTCATGGAAAAATATTCTGACTTATTTTTTGTATACCTAGTACTTTTCAAAAGGAACCCCTTTAACGAATCCTCATATTGCCGTGCCCAGAATTGTGTCTTTCCTTAAGCGTATTCTAAAATTTGGTTTTTCACTTCAGAAAATTCTAAAGCATTCTAGGTAGTATTGCTATTGTAAAACTTTCTTTTTTAATTGTTGATCAAACGTACGCTTAGTGTATGTTCTGCGTAAGATCGGGATGAAGATTCAGCCTAGGGGCGGCCGCCAGCTCTACTCACACAGAATATACATTAGGTGCGGGATAAACAATTAAAAAGCAAAGTTTACAACAGAAATACTCCCTAAAATGCTTTGGCATATTGTTAAGGGGCGTTTGAAGAATTTTTTGGATTTTTTCGCACTGTTTCAAGTATTAGACCGCTCATATTCCGAAAAGTATCCACCCTAAAGAAAAGTGAAAAACCTTTTTTGTTTATAATAACCCAAAAAACCTAAAAAAACCTTTCCCGAAGCTGAAAAATATTTTTAGAATTTGTTAAACATTTTTGTTTAGTCATGGCGACATGCTGATTCCTTTTTGTCGTTCGTTTTTGGATGCATATTATGCAAAAACCGGAATTAGAATATTTTTCCGAGCAAACGCGAAGACACTTGGACTCTGGGCGCATATTTATTGTCCTGCCGCCTTGTGATGGCCCATGCGCAAGGTCCAATTTTGGCACACTCCCTCCGGCCGGTATCTCACGAATAAAAGCTTTAATATTGGCTTCCAGTGCGTCAATCGTTGCTGGCTTATTCCTGTAGACATTAGCCTTAACATGGCCCCACAAGAAATAGTCCAACGGCGTTAAATCACACGATCTAGGCGGCCAATTGACGGGCCCCAAACGTGAGATAAACTGTTCACCGAACTCGCCTCTCAATAGGGCCATTATTTCATGTGCGGTGTGGCATGTGGCACCGTCTTGTTGAAACCACAGGTCAGCCAAGTCCAGCTCTTCTATTTTGGGCAAAAAAAAGTTTGTTATCATCGCACGGTAGCGCCCGCCATTCACAGTTACGTTCCGGCCATTGTCGTCTTTGAAGAAGTACGGCCCGATGATGCCACCGGCCCATATTCCACACCAAACAGTGATTTTTTCGGGACGCATTGGTAGCTCTTGCAATGCTTCTGACTGGTCTTCACTCCAGATGCGGCAATTTTGGTTGTTAACGTACCCATTCAACCAGAAATGAGCTTCGCCGCTGAACACAATTTTTCTTCACTGGCGGATACAGCCGCAATATTTTCTTCAGTCCTCACTCTACGTCTGCGTGTTGATGGTTTAATGTCCAATAATGTAAACTGGGTTCAAAATTTAGTCATAAGCTTCCGAATAGCTCCCTCAGTAGGCCGACCAAATTGCCCATAAATTGGAAGCAGTGCTCGATGCACTCTCTTAACCGAGCATGAATTTTGATAGTAAAATTCAATAATTTGCAAGCGTTGTTCATTTGTAAGTCGATTCATGGTTAAATTATAGACCAAACTGAACAAGTTTGACAATGACACAAGACACGATTCACGCGTCATCTGTCAAAAACAGTGTTGCCAAAAAGATACTAGCAAAAAAATCACCCGTTATTAAAGACACATGATTCCAACAAAAAAAAGGTTTGAGGCATTGATGTCACATATTTATATTAAGGACTAGATTAAAAGAAATATTAAAGACAGATGATTCCAACAAAAAACAAGGTTTGAGGAATTGATGTCTCATATTGTCTGCTTGGGTACTCCTCTGCTCACCGTTAGATCAATCTAATTCAAAGTAAATAATATGTAGACACTTTCCACGAGTCTGAAACAAACGTGAAGGTAACGCGGAGAAAGAAATGTAGGTTAAAAGAGTCATCGAAAAAGGTAAGAATCAATTACTGCAATTGAGTCTCGGCTCTCGGTAAACAGGGGAGCCGCCGAGCTACGGCGTGCTTGGGTCACAAAACAAGGACGTCTTATTTCAAATGAACTCGAACACCGGCAAGAGTTTTGATTTAAGTAGAAAGTGAAACTTTGCTTGCTATGGTTCTGCGACTGTTGCTGGAAGCTAGGTTTTCCACAGCTACATTACGCTAATTGGACAGATAGTATGACACGCGTGCCCCACGGGTGCGGGAGAAGCATGGTTCGTACAAAAGTCGCCAACCTGTCAGTGACAGTGCCCAAGATCCCACCACATAAATTCTACCACTCTGCTACGCCATACAACTATAGTCGGAGTTTACACAGCTGGATCCTAGGTGCAGTTACCGACAAATTACCGACCACTATACGAACAAACCTAGAGACCTATAAAAAGGCGTACAAATTCCGAATACCTTGCAAATATTTTAACAGCTGCACCATAATAAACATATGCAATTTTGGAAATGATTAACTTACAAATATTCATTGGTTATCATTGAATCTTAAAAATATGAGACTCGCTGAAGTTTAAAGACATTTAAATTTTGAGGCAATTTGATACTTCTTCCTTTTTCGATTGTTGCTTTGCCCCCATCTCTTCGAAGACCCGACAGTATATCGCCCCAAGTTACGCTATTACATAACACCAATACACAGATACACCAACAGACAGATTGACAAACAGACTGGAAGAAATTTCTTTCATGGGTTTTTGTGATATAAAACGTCTCCCTGAATTACGAAAATTTCTGCGATGACATCTTCCTCGATTATGTATGGAAAGTAAAATAGCAGGATGACTTCGAAGCTTCCAAGCAAAATAATGTTGGTCAAACTTCAAGGTTAGAAATAAAATACTCAGAAATTTTAAAATTACAGAGATATTCTAATGGCTAGAATTTAACTTTACGCATATCCACAGGTAATTGATTGTTTCCTTTTTCTGAGAAGTGTAATATTTTAAGCTTTTCTCTTTTTGGTGGTCAATGTTTTGAACTGTGCCATTTAAATGTAGTTATTTTTTTCTCTTTATAGTTTGTGTCAATGTTTTTTTAGGTCGGGTTGAAACACAGCATAAGCTGATACTCCACCTTTTCGTCACTATTCCTTCTAAGCCCATTATTTTGTAGTCATGTGACGATTAAAAGGCATTTATTATTATTATTATTATTATTTTATACTATTTTACTCCTCTGTCGAAGGTATTAATATTTCCCTCAGGCTAACCGCCAAAGTAAGGAAATAGATCTGCAGCGGTTTTTTCGCCGCATCCTGTTCTCATCTCCTAAAACCCTACGTACTGTCCTACATGTTCCCAGCAGCGCAGCTTTTTGCAACTGCAAGTATATTTTTGGATGGAGCTGTAGCTTTTCCAGACTCTTGTGTAGTTTTCTTGGTATCTCCCCAGTAGCTCCTATGATAACTGGTACTACAGACACCTTCCCCATTTCCCACATGCGTTTTATTTCGTCCGAAAGTGGCATATACTTATTGATCTTTTCCGCATGGGTGCTTTGGATGTTAGTAGGAAGTGGCACAGCTATGTCTATTATAAACGTTGTTCTTTCTTCTTTTAGTGTGAGCACTATGTCAGGGATATTGTTGGGGATGGGCCTGTCAGTTATGATTTTACGGTTCCAGTACAGCCTAGAGGTCTCCATTTCTATCACAGGTGGCGGCGGGTAGTTATAGTAGGGCTGTGTACCAGTTTCTCCTAGATGCTTTTTAGCCAGAGCTCGATAAAGTATTTTGGCCACATCATTGTGTTTTTCAAGATATTGTTTAGGAGCTAAGGGAGAGCAGCCTGCTACAATATGATCTATGTGCTCATCTTTTTCCCCACATATGCGGCATCTGATATCATCAACGTTCTTATGCATTATACGCTTTCGGTTACAACTTTGTTGGGACTACCTGATCCTGAATGGAGGCTATGAAGCGCTCCGTCTCCAGGAACTGATTACCTGACTGCAACCATCCTTGG